GCTCGCCAATTTTAGAGAGAAAGGGAGACCTGAGATGTGGGTGTGTGTGCAAGAGTACATGTAAAAATAGAACCATTTTCGGTAACTAACATGGGGAGTTTGATCCTAGAGGTTGGAAGAGGACGGGGCAGGGGAGCAGGGCCAGGCTAGCAGGAACAGCAGTTGCATTTTCCCCGAGACACTCTCAGGAAAAGACCAACAAGCAAGGCCATGATCAGGTCAGCAGACTAGCCCCCGGTCATTTGTGGAAATGAAAGTCATACCCACAGGCTTGGGCCACACTGCTACCCTGTTTGTCCCTGCTGGCTTTGCTACCAAATTGACTCAAACTGAAAATGTGGGAGCTTTCTAGCCAGAACACTGGAGAGCATCTTTATAGGCACAACCCCAACCCAGTAACACTCCTGCAGCCGGAACTTTGCTTTCAGAGAGTATGTCTCAGTTACTCTCTTCAGAGCCTTTCCTGGGAGAGGAATTTCTTACCAGTCCTCCTTTGGCTAGAAAGGTGACCAAAGTGAAGTGGGTGCGATAGAAGTTACAGGGCACAGAGCTTCTGTGGCTCCGTTTATCAGGAGGAATTGGAGCTGCAGTGGCTACTGTGGCAGCAGCAGCCAGAGGGACTGCCGCTCTGGGAACTCAATCTCATCCTCCGGGGTGACTGGTGCCACGTGGGGGGTGGTGGCAGCATTTTCCTGGGAGGGCTAAATTGCGTGGGGGGCGGTGTAGGCCTGGGAGCCAGCACAGTGGTAGTAGTGACCTTCTGGTCATCGATTTGTCCTCTGTCCCATGTCCTTCAGCACCTTCTCGGCTTCATCTGGATCTTCTGACTCCCTGTATGCTTAGCCTTTAGAAAGATGGGGGGACACCCTTTTATTTATTTTTTGGGGGGCATCCTTTATTTATTTTTTTTGGGGGGGGACATCCTTTTAAAGGCATGCCAATCCTATTAATTTCCCCAGAGGTGGAGAAGAGAGTATCTGTCTCCCTGATGTGGTCCTTGCCCACGTTCCTAGTGAGCCTCCCAATGTACACCTTGGCTGGTTTAGGGGAAGGACTTTTCATCTCTTTTGGGTGGTTTGGATTTGGAGCTGGAATGCCACCTTTTGTCATGCCAACACCCAGAGGTACTGGTTGAGCTAGAGGAGCTGCTGGAGTTGGAGCTGTAGGACATGCTGGAACTCCCCCAGCAGCTGGATACAGAAGAGGAGCTTGAGGCACTGCTCAGGCCTGTGCTGGTGCTGGAGGTAGAGCTGGACCGGGACCTGGTGCTGCTGCCATCCCTGCTAGGGCTCTGCTTCTTCCGAGTTTTATCCCTGTCGCCATCCTTCTCGCTCCACTCCGTGGGGGCCCCTTTCTCTTTAGCATGATCCTTGGACTTCTCATCAGAGTGATCTGTGTGTTGGTAGGAGAAGGAACCATCTTCCCACTACCGTGGCCTTTTCCCGCTCTCCTCTGCTGCTGAGGCCAATGCCCTAATTTTCCCCATTTTAGAGTTGAGCAGATAGAATTTCAGAGATATTAAGCAACAGAATTCACACAGCTAGAAAGGTGGAGAAGGGATTTGGGCAGACCCATACTGATTCTACAGTCTGAGCTCTTTTTACTGCACATGTATTCAAATCAGTAAAGTTGATGGCCAAGTGGAAATGCTAAGGATCTCTTTCTTCAGCACAATAGGCATACTGTTACAGAATTTTTTTAGAATGTGAGAGTTGCTTTGTAGTGATAGGATATTGATGTTTTCTTATGACAGGGTAAGGAAGGTGTGGCCCTTCCCCATACTTGCAGGAGTTGGGCCTTGTCTGCAGCTTTGTCTGCCCACTATATCGGGTGCTGAAGATGGGACATTCCAGTAGTGATGCTCGATTATTTCGTAAGAACTGGCAACTGTAGTGTGTGCGTATATGAGCCAACAAAAGGATGAGTACAGTTGACTCTTGAACAATTTTGGGGTTACGGGTGACAGTCCCCTGCATAGTCGAAAATCCACGTGTAACTTGACTAACTGAAAACTTAATTACCATAGTGTACTGTTGACTGGCAGCCTTACTGACAACAGAAACGGTTGATTAACACATTTTGTATGTTACACCAACATTTTATGTTATATACTATATTCTTATAATAAAGTAAGCTAGAGAAAAAATGTTATAATGAGGAAGAGAAAGTACGTTTACAATACCATATTACAAAATATCCATGTTATAAATGGACCCCCACAGTTCAAATCAGTGTTGTTCAAGGGTCAGTTATAATTTGAACTGAGACTTTTATTTAGCTTTTCAAGATGTACAAAGCAATTCTTATTACTGTTAAGGCAGATGTAGATTTTAAAACAAAGTAAAAATGTTACCAGACTTCAAGGGAGAATATTACCTACAGCCACTGTATGATAGAATGTTCATTGAGATGGAGGCATTCTGTATCCAATTCTAGTAAGTTTTTTTTTTTTTTTAAGATTTTATTTATTTGACAGAGACACAGCGAGAGAGGGAACACAAGCAGGGGGAGTGGGGAGCGGGAGAGGGAGAAGCAGGCCTCCTGCTGAACGCAAGGAGCGCAAGGAGCCTGACGTGGGGCTTGATCCCAGGACCCTGGGATCACAACCTGAGCCGAAGGCAGACGCTTAAGGACTGAGCCACCCAGGCGCCCTGAATTCTAGTAAGTTTTAAGAAAAAAATGATTTGAGTTTTACTTGAGGGCCATTGGGAAGGCCTCACAAAGTGGGTAATACTGCTGGAGAATGAGTGAGATATAGAAGGACCAGAGCATTTCAGGTGGCAAAGTGGTCTGAGCAAAGCAGGAAGATGGGACGACTAACTTGTGTTGGTTCACTGTGCCTGAGATGCAGGTGGAAAGTATGGTTGGGATTGGGATGGTACAAGGCCTTAGGTTCCACAGTAAGGCATCTGGGCTTTATTTGTCGGTTACGGGTTTTGTTTGAAAGGTAATTACAAGTAAAGGTAATTACAAGTAAGATCGCTTCAGAGTTACTGGGTAGAATAGAAAATTAACCTTCCACAGGACATATAATAAGCTTGGGAACATTAGTGTTTTTTATTGTTAGAGCCAGCAGTTGTTTTGATGAGATGAAGGTTTGAAGAAGGGGCTGCAGGATACAATGGAAGATAAATAACTTTGCCTTGTAATTATGTTGGGATTGAGGTGTTGGTGGGATCTGGTGGCTTTTAGAAAAGATGTGAGTTTACCAATCATTAGGCTTAGGTTAGAAGGCCTTTTTGGAATGGAGAGGGTGAAAGGAGTGGGTAAGATTGTCTTTGGCAGTTTCCTAAAGGGCAGTATGAGCTTTGATAGGAGAGACATTTACTTGGTATTGAGGATATTTAAAAAAAATTTTAGTGAGTAGGGGTGTATATATATATGCAGAAAGGCTAAGCTTGACCACCTGTGTTTCTCAGAGGCTACCTCCAGCACATTTTGGGCCTGTAGAGTTTAGGGGTCAGAGCAAATCTAATGAGATCCCAGACTGTGCCGTATTTATACAGTGCAAAGCTACTTGCAGCTGCTCTGGGAGATCGGCTCACAGGGGTTCTTACCCATTTGGGTGGAAAAGGTCACTGAAGCACAGAGAGGCCTAGCATTCTGGCAGATTGCACAGGGCTAGTAAGTTTATTTAAATAAAATAATTCTCAGTAGATCATCTAATGTAGTCAGATTTGGGCCAAGGCATTATGGCTCCAGAGCTTATTACTCTAAATTGGAAGAACTAGGGATCTAGGGCAGATAGAAAGGGCCAAAGCTAGAGTGTGTCAAGTGTGGGGAAATGGTCTAGAGTCTTGACTTCATTGCTTCCAGATTGTGAGACGCTGGATAAATTTACTTACTAAAACCTTTTTGGACTCAGTTTTTTCCCTACAAAAGAGGGATAAGATGGTGGGGTACTTTTGAAGATTTAATGAGATAATATACATAGCAATTTGTGCAGTTATTATTAAAGTAGGAAGAAGAGAAGGTTTTATTGGATTCGGGAGAAAATAGACTCTTTAGGATTTAGTTTTGTCTTTTAGGATATTTTGGGTTCTTTGGGGTGAATTTGATCTTTAGCTTGAAAGAAAGCAGCCACTGGAAGGGGAGATGATAAATACATGGGAGTAGAGGGAACGTGGGGCAGGGCTCCAGAGGGATTAATTAGAATGAAAAACCTATGGGGAAGCATAGGGACCATGCTAGTAAAAGTATCAATTCCAATATAACTGACTTTTTAAGCTTAAAAATGGTGTTTTAAAGTAGTTATACCTGTGAGCAGATTTCAGTTTTGCTTTCTAGAATAAGCTGCAAGTACATCAAACTAGCAGGCAGTGTATGAACTGGTGATTTGGAAGAATGTGTTCATAAGTGGGAGTGAAGTTCATTGTCGGAAATTGTGAGTCCTTGCGGTGCCTGTCTGGCTCCGTTGGGAGGAGCATGCGACTCTTCCTGATTTTGGTGTTGTGAGTTTGAGCCCCAGGTTGGGTGTAGAGATTACTAAAAAAAATGAAATTAAAAAAATTGTGAGTCCTTGGAAGCTAGTGCTGGAAAATTTTTTTACTAATAGGTAAAGTAGGACAAGAGTTCTCATAGTTTATAGACTATTCTCTAGGTCAAGTTATAAGCTGTTTGAAAAAGCAAGAACATTTAATTGATGTATTGGTAAGAGGGTACATTATTTTGTATTGGGATTTTGAGCACCAGACTTGAAGAATAAGAGAATAGTGGAGATTGGCTAGATCACCTCTCTGTAGTATTCTAGACAGATGGTTAACACATCAGACTTGCACTTCAACATCTAAATGACAGGACTCCCAATTTTCTAAGAAGCCTGCCATTCTCATGGACAGTTTTACTCAATGGAGAGGTCAAAATCATAGACTTCCTGTGTGCTTTTACGGTATGTGGCTTTTTAGCTAAGACTCAGAAAAGTTCCTTGCTATGGCGATGTAATCCTGTTGGATGTAATGTTGCAGTAAGGTTTGATGCTTAAATGTTTTTTTTCCCCCTAGGGCTTGCATTTCTTTTGGTCCTAAGAATCGTTCAATTGGAGCAGCAGCTAAAAGCCAGGTAGAGTTTTGTTTTTTTTCCTAAAATGACTTCTGTCTCTGCTTTGTCCATCTTTCCCTTCAACTATTTCAGTGCCCATTATGTGCCTATTACGGCAGTCCCTAGGTGAGCAGCTGAGAAAGAGGGCCTGATCCCTATTCTCGTGTGCTTGAGTGAGAAGCAAATAGCTTTTTAAAATAACATGAGCAGGGGCCCCTAGGTGGCTTAGTTGGTGAAGCTTCTCTGACTCTTGATCTGGCTCAGATCTTGATCTCAGGGTTGTGAGTTCAAACCCCACGTTGGGCTCCACGCTACGTGTGGACCCTACCTAAAAAAAGATAAAATAGCATGAACAGTATAATTAATGGAAACTACTGGGATGTATTTTGTCCAGATTTTGTTTAAGCAAGGCTTGCTTATTCCTCTATATTTTATATGTTCCTTAGAGTCTGTCTCTTGGGGTTTTCATCTTGGGCATACTTAGAGTCACTGTTGTTTGTAGATTTGATCTTTAATTTAATCAAGGTTCTCAAGGAAAGAAAGCGTACTCGTAGAAGCACAGTTGACATTTATGTGTTTACTTTATAAATCAGGAACCTAACATTATTTGTTGGTTTCTAAGTAACCAGAGCAGCAGAACCCCAAGAGTTCTGTTGCTTTGAGTGTCTGAGGTTGCTGTAAAATTAAGGAGTTGCATATTTGACCTTTTTATGGTTCAGCCTGGAGCACCATATAGAATGAATAACTGTCTTTTTCTGGACTGGGTAGGGCCTACAGTATAAAAGTCCAGGGGTGCCTGGCTGGCGCAGTTGGAAGAGCATGTGACTCTTGATCTTGGGGTTATGAGTTTGAGCCCCATGTTGGGTGTAGAGATTGCTAAAAAAATAAAAAGCCTAAGAAAATGGTGCTTAGCCCATTGATTTTTAATTACATTGGGTGTTTTATAATCTTATTTTCAGAAAGTCAAAGATTTGTTAGGAAGCAGTAGATCACATGTACACAGTTAGTTTGAAATGTCTTCTAAAATTCCAATGAGTTCTTTTGTTTTTAAACTTGCTTTCATTATTGAGAATAGTTATTGTACTAAACCGGCTGCCTAGTTCTAGGATAACATAGTTATTGTACTGAGTTTCTGCTTGGCAGCCTTCTGAAGTAGGGCCTGATTTTGGGGGCCTAATATTGTTTTATGAAAGACTTCTGGGTGCTTTATGACACAGCTGATGCAGAGGAGCTCTGCAGTTCTTACAAAAGTAAAAGAAATTTGGAAGTTACATGCGCTACCTTTATCCAAACATCAGTGTTAGTATCTTAACGTATAACCTTTTGTACTCTTTCTACGGATATAAATGCTTCCCCCACTCCAAAAGTGAGATCATAGCATATAGATACTTGTCTTCCAACCTACTAAAATAATGTTACCCACTGTATGGATATATCATTTATTTACCCATTCTCCTGTTAATTAACCATCCAGCCTGTTTCCAGTGTTCTGCTATTGTAAATAATATTTGGTCACTGTCTTTCTACATTTATCTTTATGTAATTACTGTCCTCTTTTTTTCCGTAAAGGTTCTTTCACTAGAATTTCTGAATTGATATTGCCAAATTGACTCCTGGAAAGTTTGAATCACAAATTACAATTTTTAAAAGTTAAAGCTCATTTTATGTAAATGTTAATTAGAAGTTTAAGAACAGAAGAATACCTTTGTACATGTACAGTGCCCCATCTTCATGGAGAAGTAGGACAAGCTGGGCTCTAGTGCCCATCCCTGCCCCTGTGGTCTGTACAAGTCCATTATTCCTCACTTCACACGTGAGCAGGCATCATACAGAAAGGTGTAGTGCTAAAGAAAATGAAACTCGAAAGGAAACCTTGTGGAGTTAAAATGATGCTAGTTTAATCTGAGGCTGTTGGATCCCCCCCCCAATTTAATTGCTCTTAATCTTTTCACTCTGATTCTGATGTTCTTCCTCTTTAGGTAATTTCTAATGCAAAGAACACAGTCCAAGGATTTAAAAGATTCCATGGCCGAGCATTCTCTGATCCATTTGTGGAAGCAGAAAAATCTAACCTTGCATATGACATTGTGCAGCTGCCCACTGGATTAACAGGTATAAAGGTAAGGTCTCAAAGTGATGGCTTAGGATTAAAATACGGTGTTTTATTATATCAGGTCGATATATCTCTGTACCATTCTGAGTTCAAGTTGTAGTGAAAATGTTAAGTGTGTAGGAGAAGGTTTTGGTAGGAAAGACCATTTGGCCTTTTTTGAATGCTCTGTATTTTGACTGGGAGCGATAGGTGGCGCTGTTAAAATGGGTTGGACAGATGGGTAGTGGTGGTTTGAAGTTAACCTTGCCATTGCTGCTTTTATTGTTTACTGATGGAGCAGTCTTTCTGGTGTGATTTTCGTGAACGACTCTTGGAATACCAAGCAAAGAACTTAACACTTTCAAGTCACTAAGCAGATGTATGGTCATATTCTTGACAATAGGACTTAGATTGGAAAGAGGTGTTGTTCTTTTGGGGAAAAGGCAATTTAGTCTTTGATATCTCTGGGACATCTAGAAGAGTTTGTGCAGCGTGCAGTGAACTGATCCTACAAAAGAGGCAACTGAGTTTAGCAAGGGGAGATTTGGTGTTTGAGATATCGCAGTTGGAGAAGTCAGATTGTGGGACCAGGCTCAAAATCCAAGAGATGATAAGAATTGTGAGAAAAAGGTAATGAGTTGTGCTATTGAGAACTCAATTGAATTTAGAAGTGAAGAGTTTAAAAGTGAAGAATTCTGGTAATGGAAGAATGATCACTGACTGGGTTTACTTAGGATATCTGTGGCAATAATCTCAGAACAGTTTGAATGGCTGGTAATGGATAAATCTGGAGTACACGGGAGGGAAAAAGGGTGTGAGTAGATGGAGGATACTTACAGTCAGGAAAGAAATAGGATTAGGTATTGGCAGATTTAGTCTAAAGCATTGCGAGAGCCAAAGGAGGAAGAGACTAGGGAGAAATCCGGGGAATAAGTGGATCCAAGTACAGGAGTGGAGCAGCAGACTAAGAATTAAGCAGATAGCCGGGAAGAAGAGGCTCACGGGGAGGGGAGCTTTCCCATGTTGATCGTGCATTAAAGTAAGGGACTACTAGATTGTGCACCAGAATAAATTAGGATTGGGCTGGGGAGCGAAGAGTTTAGGAGAAGGTGGTGTTAAGGTTCGCTTGGAGCAGCGGCTGAAAGAAGAGAGTTATGTTTTCAGGTGTGGACTGTATTTGGGGACTATGGGCATGTGGGATGGGGCTTGTCCTAGCCAGTCTTTCAGCATTTCAAGTTTGTAGCCCTTTTCCAAGTTGCACACTTTTATGCAGGGTAGGGTATCTTGAAGCTTTATTCATTTATCCTTTAATTCAAGTATTTATTGTGTCTGGTTTGTCCTAAGTCTTGGGCCTACAGCAGTAAACAAACTGACAGAAGCTATGACCTCAGGCTAGATTGGATTCTAATTTTGGAAATGATCATAAAGTCAACACAGTAAACAAAGTAAAACCCACATAGTATTCCAGGTGGCAGAGTGTCCACCACGAGACCTCTTTATGGAGGTGCAGTGTTGGGCCATGGTGAGCGCTCCCAGTTTGCTTCTGCACAGGTGATCTGAGCTTTTGTTGGTGGTCACAGCATACTGTTTACATAATGGTCCTTATCTGCAGGTATTCATGTTTGACAAACATGTTAAAAAGCTAAAAGTGACTGTCAAGTTGTTTTTGCTTCCCAGACTAGTGTTCTTCAGTTCCTTCTTGAGGTAATGATCCATTGATGATGAAAATTGCTCATTTTAGGCTTTTAGGTCATGAAAAACTGGAATAAGTCTAGATCCTTTTGTTGTTTCATTGTAGGTGAAATATATGGAGGAAGAGCGAAGTTTTACTACGGAGCAGGTGACTGCCATGCTTTTGTCCAAACTGAAGGAGACAGCAGAAAGTGTTCTTAAGAAGCCTGTTGTGGACTGTGTTGTTTCGGTGAGTTTGATCCCTGCGTTTTACTGGGGACTTAAGTGAAGAAGCAGAGAAGAATTTTGTCAGTTGCAAATAAAATTGCTTTTTGCCTTTGGTTATAGAGATTATTTTAAGAATTTATCAAACTAGTCTTCATTTTCTCTCTCTTTTTTTAAGATTTTATTTATTTTTTGACAGCGAGAGAGGGAACACAAGCAGGGGGAGTGGAAGAGGGAGAAGCAGGCTTCCTGCCGAGCAGGGAGCCCGATGGGGGGCTCGATCCCAGGACCCTGGGATCATGACCTGAGCCGAAGGCAGATGCTTAACGACTGAGCCACCCAGGCGCCCTAGTCTTCATTTTCTTGAGTATTCTTTTCTGCCCCCTCGTTTTTACTCAGCTCTTCTCTGTTTTTCCTATTTGAAGGCTTACCTCCAAGCCCACTTACCCCTGGATTCCTTTTAGCATCTTGCAGAGGGCCTGGCACGTGATAGCCACTTGTTTGTTGAATTTGAATGTTCACAATTAGAAATGTTATTTTCTTCATTTCAATGTCTGTATTTTATTTTTGCTTGCCCTGTATTTAGAACTAAAGGCAGGGCAGCACTAGACTAATCTTGTCTTTTGCATATTCCTGTTAAGATGGAAGCCTGATGGAGTCCTTAGGAACTGTTGAAATTTGGGTGGTTGTACTGGCTTTGCAACTAAATCTCCTCATTCTGCAGTTGTTATATTAATATCTTAGTTCTGTGTTCTCTTTTGTCTTCGTATTGGTGTATCCATCAGTAAAGCAAGGGCTGTTAGGTGACTGTTACTCTGCAGTCTGTTGTCTGATAGATTTCTTGGTTCTCGGCTAACTAGTACAGTAGGACTGACATTTGTCAGGAAGAATTGGATTATGGTTGTGTGCTGTATTCCGGAATGCAAAGAATAAAAGTACTACTTTTTTTTTTTTAAAAGATTATTTATTTATTTATTCATGAGAGACAGAGAGAGAGAGAGAGGCAGAGGGAGAAGCAGGCTCCCAAGGAGCAGGGAGCCCGATGCGGGACTTGATCCCAGGACCCTGGGATCATGACCTGAGCCGAAGGCCGACGCTTAACCATCTGAGCCACTCAGGCGCCCCAAAAGTACTACTTTTCTTAAGAGCTCATATTCAATGCAGGCACTGTGTTTCTTAGATTCATTTGTCTTTCCCTAACATATTTTCAGATTTATACCCATTTCCCCCACCTAGTGCCCTAACTTTGATTCTCAGTTCTCAGTATAGAAGTGAAATTCACGTACGTACAATGGCAGAATGCCCGAGTGGCTTTTCCAGCTTTTGAGATCAAGTTAAAAGGTGTTGTATTAACTCATGTATTAGGGGTCTTCAAGACTGTACTGAATTTCAGTGACTTGCTAGAATCTGTAGAACTCACCATATAGCCATACCTATGGCTAAGATTTATTACAATGAAAAGATACAAAGCAGAATCAATAAAGGGAAAGGCACAAGTGCAGTTTCTGGAGGAAACCAGGCACAAACTTCTAAGAGTCCCCTTCCAGGGGAGTCATACTGGGTGCACTGAATTCTTCTAGTGGCAAGTTGTGATAACACATGACATACCGAACACCAGGCAAGTTCTGCCTGAGCCTAGGAGTCCAGGGTTTCTAACTGGAGGTCAGTCATATAGGCACCTTGCGCCTAATCCATACCAAAATTCTAGACTCCCAGAAGGAAAGTAGCTATGTAGCATAAATTATGTTGTACAAATAATTTAGGTGTAGTGAGCCACTCTTTTAGGGAAATTTTTCTTTAATTTAGTGACCTCTTTATCACTTAAGTTCCTCTGTGCTGGGAAAGAGCTAACCTTTTCATCAGGCCTTTCTAAGGATAGCCGGCTCTGGCCCCTGTACAAACTCTGCTGCACATTCACTGCCCTAGCTCTTGCTATTGTGGTATGTCTAATTGCTATATAAATGGAGCTTGGGCATATTTTGCTTTATTTATGAGTTGATATTGTTAAAACATAAACTTTATTTTTTTTTGGAAAGGTAATAGTAGCCCTGGTGTTCAAAAATGAAATGCGTGTATGGGAAGCTTTGGCACCCTCTGCTTACCTAGAAGGAAGCTTTTTCTTCCCAGATGTTAGGAGTTTTATTACTTGGTTACACATCTTTCTAGAGATTTTTGTGTACCCAAGTAAGTATGTATATATATCCTTTTTTAGTTTCATTTTTCTTTTGATAAATTTTAGACATTTTATCTTCTATATCTTCCTTAGTGGTAAAGAAGGGCTTCATTCTTTTCAGCGGCTGCAGAGTATTCCAGTTATGCATGTACTGAAATCTCTTTAGTCTTTTTTTTTTTAAGATTTTATTTATTTATTTCACAGAGAGAGAGAGAGTGAGAGAGGGAACACAAGCAGGGGGAGTGGGAGAGGGAGAAGCAAGCCTCCCGCTGAGCAGGGAGCCCGATGTGGGGCTCCATCCCAGGACCCTGGGACCATGACCTGAGCCGAAGGCAGACGCTTAACGACTGAGCCACCCAGGCGCCCCTAATTCATCTGTTTTTGTTGGACCTGCGGTTGCTTCCTTTTTTTAAAAAATCTACATATTTTAGTTTTTGAAGATTTATTTGAGAGACAGCGTGCATGGGAACGGGGGGGAGGGGCAGAGGGAGAGAGAATCTCGGGCCGACTCCCTGCTGAGTACAGAGCCCAACATGGGGCTCGATCCCACGACCCTGAGATCATGACCTGAGCCGAAATCAAGAGTCGGACGGTAAACTGACTGAGCCACTCAGGTGCGCCCTTCCAGTTTTTTTTTTAAATTATAAAGAATTAAATTTTTTTGCTGTGAATAAACTTGAACAGATAAGATTTTGCTCTTATGTGGGGGCCTGGGTGGCTCAGTTGGTTAAGCGACTGCCTTCGGCTCAGGTCATGATCCTGGAGTCTCAGGATCGAGTCCCACATTGGGCTCCCTGCTCAGCAGGGAGTCTGCTTCTCCCTCTGACCCTCTTCCCTCTCGTGCTCTCTGTCTCTCATTCTCTCTCTCTCTCTCTCTCTCTCTCTCTCAAATAAATAAATAAATCTTTAAAAAAAAAAAGATTTTGCTCTTATGTGATAAGTTTGTAGGATTTGTGGGTTAGAGTCCTAGAAGTACAATTGCTAGGACAAAGGATATGTGTATTTGTAATTTTTTTTTTTTTAAGATTTTATTTACTTATTTGTCAGATTGAGAGCGAGTACAAGCAGAGGGAGAAGCAGACTGCCCCTCTGAGTAAGGAGCCCGAATCAGGACTTGATCCCAGGACGCTGGGATCATGACCTGAGCTTAGCCGAAAGCAGATGCTTATTAACCATTTGAGCCTCACAGGTGTCCCGTGTATTTGTAATTTTAACCACACTTGTTTAATTGCCTTTTAAAGAATTCGTACTCACACTTTTACTTGCAGGGTATAAGGGAACTTGGACGGCAGTCTCACCAGCACAGCTTATTGGGGTGTTAGCTGATTCTCTGATAGGTGAATGATGCTATCAAAGTGTTTGTGAGGGGCGCCTGGGTGGCTCAGTCGTTAAGCGTCTGCCTTCGGCTCAGGTCATGATCCCAGGGTCCTGGGTTAGAGCCCCGCATCGGGCTCCCTGCTCAGCGGGAAGTGTGCTTCTCCCTCTCCCACTCCCCCTACTGTGTTCCCTCTCTCGCTGTGTCTCTCTCTGTCAAATGAATAAATAAAATCTTAAAAAAAAAAAGTGTGATTTTAATGTTTTATTCTTTAGGTGAAGTTGAGAACATTTTTAAATTTAAGAGCCCTTCTGTATTTCTTTTCTGTAAACCATTCCTATTCTTTGCTCATTTTGAGTTTATGGGTCTACATTTTGATTCGTAGTTCCTCATATATACTAGATTAGCTCTACTCTTTTATGTTATGAGTCGCAGGTATTTTCTCCATTTGGTCATTAGAATTTTTATGAGTCAAATATATGAATCTTTATAAAAATTGTTTTGTTTATAGTTGACATACAATGTTACGTTAGTTTCAGGTGTACACCTTAGTGATTTGACAAGTTCATACACTATGCTCTGTTCTCCACAAGTGTAGTTACCATCTGTCCTCTTACATTGCTATTCAAATATATTGATCTTTTCTCCTTTTTTTCTTCTGTATTTTGTGTTATATTTACAGAATTTCTTCCCTCTGATGGTAAAGACCCCCTTTCCTTCTGGTACTCATCTTTTTTTTTAACTGTTAAATCTTTGATTTGAAATATATTTTTGTATGAGGTGTGCAGTAGGGATGGTACCTAATTTTTTCTCTGTATGGTTATCCATTTGTTCCAATACTACTTAATGAATATTCTAACTTTTCCCTACTGGTTTGAAATACCTCCTTGATCATATAAGGAATAAATTGCTGTAGGTATTTGAGGGCATTTCTAGACTTTACTCTGTTTTGGGAGGTGTATTTTAACTGAAGACTCCCTAATATAGGAAACTTTCACTTTTTTTGTAGGTTCCTTGTTTCTATACTGATGCAGAAAGACGATCAGTGATGGATGCAACACAAATTGCTGGCCTTAATTGCCTGCGATTAATGAATGAAACAACTGCAGGTAACAGGGACTGTTAGCATCTCTGACTTGGTGAATCTTGAAGGTTCTGCCATCTTTTAAAACTCTGGGGTTTCTTGTTCTTTATTTTGCTTGCAGCACTTACACCTATGTGCCATAGTGTTTTTGGATACTGTGTCCCACATAAAGAATTCATCTGACCAATGTTTTTTCTTTATCCACATAGTAGCACTTAAATTGGTACAGAATCGCATCCTCGTTTGGAAAGTAACAGAGTTATTGTGCGTTCACAGTGTGTCAGTTTAAAGATCAACCTTTTCTCCAGCCCTTTAATGGACTGTAAAGTATAAAGCAACATCTCAGGGAGAGATATGTGGGAATGTTGAGATGGTGCAAGTGTAGAAGAAAGAAATCCTGGAAAATATGTTTGGAAAAGTGGGGGAACTGGTTGGGAAAAATTGCCGAAGTCATTGGAATTAGAAATTGTAAACGTTAAGGAGGTCTAAGTGAATGTCAGCATTTAATTCTTTGAAGTAACTGTTCCTCATGAATAAATTATGCAAAGCATATGAAGAATTTGATTTTTTGTAAAACATAGCATGTGATGCAGTCCTATTCACTGTATAATTTTTTTTTTTACTTAAAGTGAATTTTAAATGTACTATTTACGTGATAATGTTACATTGAATTTCATTGTTTTCTTACTAGTTGCTCTTGCCTATGGAATCTATAAGCAAGATCTTCCTGCCCTAGAAGAGAAACCACGAAATGTAGTTTTTGTAGACATGGGGCATTCTTCTTATCAAGTTTCTGTATGTGCGTTTAATAGAGGAAAACTTAAAGTAAGTATATTATTTCTGGAAAACTTTATTACAAGTGTATGGTAATGAGGAATTTATGGGAGACAGTTGAAAAAATAAAGAATTTTGTTTCATTAATGGAAGCTTGGTTTGAGCCATCTAAACTAGAACTAGGTATGTAGAGGTAGGGTAGAAACTAATTTATCAAGAGTTGGCGTGGTGTGAAGCAAAGAGCATAGACCTTGAGGAAAAAGCTCATAAGATTTCTGATCCTTATTTTTCTAACCTATAATTTGCAGAATATAATGCTTACCCTGCAGGCTTATTACGATTCCTTAACATGTAGTCCCTTTGTGAATTTTTTTACACTGAGGATTGAAGAGATGACAAAGGTATTGTATTCTTGATCTTAAGGTTTTGAGTGTTCTGGGAAAAGAGTGTGGGGACTAAAACTTGGATGGCCAAAAAGAAACCAAATTGAGAGTGGTATTCTAGATTTCTGGAAATCTTCGAACTCTGGAGAAAGCACTTTTACACAGAGAAGGCTAGCACTGTTTAACGCAAGGAAGGCCAGAGAGTCAACATGGTCACATTTGAATTTGCCGGTATATGCCAGTTACCCAATGGGATATAAAATCAGTTCTCTAGCCAGTTTTATCTACAATTTGCTTAAGAACCAATGAGTTTTTGAGTGTTTGCTGTAGTTACTAGGGTCGTGTATCAGGGTTCTCTGTGCCAAGGTTTCAGTTGCCTTTCTCCTTCAAATTTGGGGATTGGTGGGGAGGGACTGTCTTACAATAAGTATTCGTTAGGTTTGGAGGGCATTTTGAGACCCTATTTGTTACAGTCCTTTTATTTTGAAAACTAGACTTGGTTTCACTTTATGTTCTGATTTATATTGTTTCTAGGGCTTTTTTCCCCTTTTTTAATACTTTGACAGTGCACACAAGCAGGGGGAGCAGCAGGCAGAGAGAGAGGGAGAAGCAGGCTCCCTACTGAGCAAGGAGCCACGATGTGGGGCTCCATCCCAGGACCCTGGGATCATGACCTGAGCCGAAGGCAGATGCTTAACTGACTAAGCCACCCAGGCACCCCTCACCTTTTTAAACAGAAGCTACTGGCCATAATTTAGCTTTGGCTTTGGGTCAGAGTGATACATATTTGTGATTAGTTGCCTTTTTTCCCCCCACCAAAATTGTCCTTTACTATCTCCTGTCATCTGTCAGATTTGCAATTATAATTAAAATTTAATTCCAAAAATACTCATTATGAAACTCCCAGCTTGGAAGACATTTATATGGAAAGAAAAAGCATTCACAATGTTACTGCTATGAACAGGATGCTGTATTTCATTTTAGTGTTTTGAAGAAAACAGAATTAGACTATAATCCGTTCTGTGTCCTGTTTTTTTTTTTTTTTTCAGTTAATATATTAAGATTTCCCCACGACATTTAACATCTTTGAAGAAATTGGTTTTTATTGATTTTATTTTTTCATAAGAATGTAATTATTGGGTAACCTGGGTGACTCAATCGGTTAAGCATCTGTCTTCGGCTTAGGTCATGATGGTCCTGGGATTGAGTCCCGCATTGGGTTCCCTGCTCTGCAGGGAGCCTGCTTCTCCTTCTGCCTCTTTCTCTTAATATGTATTTCATGAATAAATAAAATCTAAAAAAATAAAATAGAGAATGTAATCATTTATTTAGCCTACCTTCTATTATTGAATTGGATTAGATCTAGTTTGCTTCTAATCTGCTCAAGATTTGGGTAATGGATAATCAAAACTAATGGACTTCTACAAGTTGCCGTGAATTAAGCTTCTAGAATATTTCCTGGTAGTAAACTGCATCGAGGTAGGGTTTTGGTATTATTCATAGTTTTGTGACAGTGCTAAGACCAGAACGCTGTAATGACATGTTAGTGCATTTGGCCTTGGATATGTAATTTTAGTTTGCAGTCAGATGAGTGTAGTAGAAAGGCCTTGGATTTTGGAATTGAGGGGATTGGGTTTTGAATTGCACTTCTGCCACATACTGGCTTTGTGACCTGCAGATTATCTGACCTGTCTGAGCCGGTAGCCATCATCTGTAATTTGGGGATTATAGTGTCTCTTTTCACAGTGATAAAATGACAGGTACAGCATTGCCTTGTTTCAGCCTTAATGTGCCCACTTGTAATTTACCAGTTAAATATATATCATAAAATATTAAATTGATTGGGTTATTTTTGAATTAATTATCATCTTTTTTCCTAAGGTTCTGGCCACTGCATTTGACACAACACTGGGAGGCAGAAAATTTGATGAGGTGTTAGTAAATCACTTCTGTGAAGAATTTGGGAAGAAATACAAACTAGACATAAAATCTAAAATCCGTGCATTATTACGACTGTCTCAAGAGTGTGAGAAACTCAAGAAATTGATGAGTGCAAATGCTTCAGACCTCCCTTTGAGCATCGAATGTTTTATGAATGATGTTGATGTATCTGGGACTATGAATAGGTAACCAGACCAGTATTTTGATGTTAAACTGAACTGTGATTTTTCTCCACTTCTATTAGCATTTATTTAGTTAAATGTTGAAATTATCATGGTTGCTATAAAGATAACTTCTGTGGGTAAAAATTAGAGACCATTCAGGATCCTGCTTTTTATGTGAAGTTTGATTATTCTAATATTATAGACTAATCTTTTTGTTCTGATTATTCCAGTAAGTTGACAGGTGCATGTATTACATGTGAGTTAGTAGTTTTAAAAAAATCAGGGCAAGGTGCTTTAGTGCTGAATAGTATTGAATTTGATTCAGTTGTTGATTCAGAAATTGGTCTTCTTGGGTAGTTCAGGGTCACTTGTGGGCAATAGTTCTCTTTGTACAGTGCTGCAAGAATTCTGGGTAATTGAAATTTCATGGCTATCCTCAGAAACACCCAGAACATTACTGTTGTCTGTTGGGTTGCTTGGATGATGAGAGTGATAAGTTCTTTAGGATGTGAACTCTACTGGTAAAAATTTAGGCACAATTGATGACTTGTTTGGGGAAGTATGGCCTCAGTTACCCTCAAAAAATTGAGATGGAATTGGAATTATATTAATGTGCCTAGTAACCACATTTGTAGTCCTCTTTCCTCTCCACTTGAAAGTGAGCATTTTCATTCTTATTAAGCAGCAGTTGTGTGTGTATTTGTTAGGGAAACTGGGGGTAGGCGAGTACCAGTGTGTCCCTCAGAAATTGTTAGTGGAATGTTTTGTGATAATCAGAACCAAGTAGACACTTGTAAGTAGTTTCTACTTTTTAAAAACTGAAAACAACGTGTGTGCTCTTTTTTTTTAAACAGTTGTGCTTTGTGTACATTGAGTGCAAAGCTGTCATATCCTGTGCTCTAGTTTATAGTCTTCATATAGTCTATAATGCTCACCAGCACTCTTTTTTTTTTTAACTAATGAAACCGGATTTTTCTGACATTGAAGCCTTTTTTCTAATTAACTTTTGAGGTAAAATTCACATATCATTTTATTTATATTTTTATTATTTTTAGAAGATTTTTTTACTTATTTGAGAGAGAGAGAAAGAGAGAGAGATGGTCAGAGAGAGCATGAGCAGGGGAGAGGGAGAAGCAGGCTCCCTACTGGGCAGGGACCCCCACGTGGGACTCGATCCCAGGATGCTGGGATCATGACCTGAGCTGAAGGCAGATGCTTTAACCAACTGAGCCACCCAGGTGCTCTCACATACCATTTTAAAGTGAAAGACTGGCATTTTTAGTACATTCACATTGTTGTGCAGTGACCACCTCCATCTAGTGACAAAATGTTTTCATCACTCCAAAATAAAATCTCATAACCATTAAGCAGTTCTCTTGGATCTTGGACCTGGCAACCACTACTTTTTTTTTTTTTTATCTCTATGAATTTACCTATTCTGGATGTTTCATATAAATGGCATTATAACTGTGTGTTTTGCTTCATTTGTGTCTGACCTCTTTAACATAAGGTTTTCTAGGTTCATTCACATTGTAGCACGTATTAGTACTTTTTTGCTTTTTATGGCAAATTATGGCAAATAATCTTTGTATGGATAACATCACTTTTTTTTTTTTTTTTATCCTTTCATCAACTGATGGACCTTTAGGTTGTTTCTACCTTTTAGCTATCGTGAATAGTGCTTCTGTGACTATTCATGAATAAGTATTGTTTTGACCATTTTGTTTTCAGTTCTTCTTGGGTAAATGTAGGAGTGGAATTGCTGAGTCGTATGCTAATTCTGTGTTTAGTTTTTTGAGGAATTGCCAATTTATTTTCCTCAGCATTTTTTTTTTTTTTAAGATTTTATTTATTTATTTGACAGAGACACAGCAAGAGAGGGAACCACAAGCAGGGGGAGTGGGAGAGGGAGAGGGAGAAGCAGACTCATGCTGAGCAAGGAGCCCAATGTGGGGCTCCATTCCAGGACCCTAGGATTATGACTGGAGTCTGAAGGCAGCGACTTAAGCAACTGAGCCACCCCAGTGCCCTTTTTTTTTTTTTTTTTAAAGTAAACTCTACCGTGGGGCTCAACCTTATGACCTCAGGATCGAGAGTCACATGCTGTACTGACTGAGCCAGCTAGGGGCCCCTGCTTAGTCTCATTTTTATGTGAAATCTATAATCCTGAACTTTTTAAAAATTTTTAATTTTTTTTATTAAAATATTTATTTGACAGAGAGAGACAGGTAGAGAGGGAACACAAGCAGGGGGAGCGAGAGAGGGAGAAGCAGGCTCCCCGCCGAGCAGGGAGCCCGATGCCTATGTGGGATTCAATCCCAGGACCCTGAGATCATGACCTGAGCCAAAGGCAGATGCTTAACGACTGAGCCACCCACGCGCCCCTCCTGAACTTTTTTTTGAAAAAGATTTACTTACGAGAGAGTGTGCCAGAGAGTGTCATTGCGGAGAGAGGCAGAGGGAGGAGGAGAGAATCTTTAAGCAGACTCCCTGCAGAGCTTAGAGCTGCTGCGGGTCTGCTTCTCACGACCCTGAGATCATGACCTGAACTAAAACCAAGAGTCAGACCGTCAACCGACAGAGGCACCTAGGCATCCCCCTCCCCCCCATTTTTTTTTAGTATTTTGAACTTTTAGACTGGAGTGTGCTAAGAGTTTTTCTGAATTCACTGCTCGATAGTGCCCTCTTTTGTTTTTATGAAGTATTTTAAAAATGTGGCTTCTTCTCTGTTTTCCTTTATTCTATCTTCCTTTGTCTCCAGTGTTTTTTTTTTTTTTTTTTAAAGATTTTATTTATTTGACAGAGAAAGACACAGCAAGAGGGGGAACACAACAGGGGGAGTGGGAGAGGGAGAAGCAGGCTTCCCGCAGAGCAGGGAGCCCGATGCGGGGCTTGAACCCAGGACCCTGGGATCGTGACCTGAGCCGAAGGCAGCCGCTTAACGACTGAGCCACCCAGGCGCCCCTCCAGTGTTCTCTTTGGTTTGGATTTTATCAGCAGTTTTTCCTCATCATGGCCCTTTTTTCTTGAAGGAAACTTTTAACTTGGTTACTATAGAGAGTTTATTGGTTCCTATTCAGCATGGTTCTTAACGTACCGTATCGAGAACCTTTTTTTTTTTTTTTAAAGATTTATTTACTTATTTTGAGAGAGTGAGAATGAGAGAGGGAGAGAGAGAGTACATGAGAGGGGGGAGGGTTAGAGGGAGAAGCAGGCTTCCCGCCGAGCAGGGAGCCCGATGCGGGAATCGATCCCGGGACTCCAGGATCATGACCTGAGCCGAAGGCAGTCGCTTAACCAACTGAGCCACCCAGGCGCCCTCGAGAACCTTTTTTTGTTCTCTTGTTCGGGAGTGTGCCAACCTCTCCTGACTTCATCTGCTGTTTTCAAATTGGCCTGCTGCCTTTTGGTTATTTTTTCAGGTCCATTATATGTCCTGTTGTTTTCCTTTGTTTCCTTTTGCACAGATACTGATACTTTGTAGGAATTATATAATTATTGGTGGTTTTTCTTTACCCATTTGTATTTTGGCATTTGTGGAGGACACTGTGTTACCTCTTTTTGTTGTAGGTGTTAATGGGGTTTTGGTTTTGCTATCCTAGTTGCTCTGTGTATTTATTTGACAGGATATAAAGAGATTAAAAAACTATACTGTTTGTATCCAGAATATATAGAGAAGATTACAATCGAATAATAAAATGACAGTGCAATTAAAAAATGGGCAAAGGATCTGAATAGATACTTCTTCAAAGTAGATACAGAAATGGCCAGTTAGGGGTATGAGAAGATTTTCAACATCATTAGCCGTTGGGGAAATGCAAATCAAAACCACAGTGACACAAGAGTTCACACCACCAGGATTACTGTTGTCAGAAGCCTTGAAGACGATGTGGAGAAATATTTATACAGTGCTGGTGGCAGTCTAAAATGGTGTAGCCATTTTGTAAACAGTTCAGCAGTTGCTTAAAATAGGTTACACCTAGAGTTACCATATGATTCAGCAGTTCCATTCCTTGGTATACATTCAAGAGTAATAAAACATGTGCACATAAAAATTCATACATGAATGGTCATAGCAGCACTATTCCTAATAGCCAAAAAATAGTAACAACACCAATGTCCATTAACTACCAAAATGGATGAGCAAAATGTGGTATGTCCATACAATGGAATATTATTTGGCAATTAAAAAAATGTGGTAAAAATACATGCTTTTAAGTTGGAAGAACCTTGACAACTTTATGCCAGGTCAAAGAAGCCAGTTGCAAATGACTACATTTTGTATAATTCTACTTATATGGAATGTCCAGCATGAGTGGGTGCCTAGGGCTGAGGGGTAGGTGAGGGGGTCAGGGGAATAGTGGTTAATGGTGACAGAAGTGTTTTGAAATTGATTGTGATGATGGTTGCACAGCTCTGAATATACTAAAAGCCATTTAATTACACATTTTAAATAGGTGAATTTTATAGCTGTGGGAATTAGTTTTCCAAACAAATTTTAAAAAAGAAACAAAAAGCCTTTACTACTGCTGTTGCCATCTTTCAAGACTCCTCTCCAGGAGTCTCTCCATTTTTTTATGACGGACATTTTCAAATATGCAGCAAAACAGAATTTTATAGTGAACATCCCTATCCTGCCACTTGGATTCTATTTATAACATTAACTGTACCTATTCATCTATCCATCCTATCTACCCACCAGTTCTATTTTTTGATGCACCTCAAACTAAATTGCAGACATCCATCTGTATACTCCCCAAATACCAAAGTATGCACATTTTTTTTTTTAAAAGATTTTATTTATTTATTTGACAGAGACGGAACACAAGCAGGGGGAGCAGGAGGGGGAGAAGCAGGCTTCCCCCTGTGCAAGGAGCCCGACGCAGGGCTCGATCCCAGGACCCTGGGATCATGACCTGACCCGAAGGCAGATGCTCAGTGACTGAGCCACCCAGGCATCCCCCAAAGTATACATATTAATCAGAATTCACTATTTTATAGTTTTTGTTTTATTTTTATATAATGACATACTCAAGTTTGAAGTGTTCCTTTGCTGAGTTTTGACAACGGACTAATATCTTTCTCAGGAGACAGTGCATCATCTCTGGAAATGTTTCCCTGGGCCTTCATCCTCAGGGACTTTTCATTTTAAGGGGTCGGAGATGAAAATTGCCTGTTCCAGGACTGCTTAGAAATGTAGCCATCCAGTGTGTAGTCTTGTGTAAGGCTTGTTTTGCTCAGTGTAAAATTTGACATTCATTGAGTTGTATCTGTCATTTGTTCCTTCTTGTGTGTTGTTGACTAGTGTGCCATTGTAGGTGTATTTTCTCCTCCTGAAGAACACTAGCTTTTTCCAGTTTATTTTTGCTGTTAGGGAAAAAAACTCCTTTTAAACTCTCAGCAACATGTAAGAGTTTTAGTTTTATATCCTCACCAATATTGGTATAAATGGTCTTAAATTTTTGCCATTTGTGTGTGTTTATTTTGTACCTCAGAGATAGAATTCATAAAAATCACACTTCTGAAGTGTCTGGTCAGTGCTCTTTAGTACATTCACAAAATTGGGCAACCATACCCACAACCCAGTTATAGACTATTTCCATCATCTCATAAAAAAAACCCTGAATGAGTTATCAAGGTATAAAAAGACTTGGAGGGAACCCTAAATGCATAATTGTAAGCAAAAGAAGCCAGTCTGAAAAAGTTACATACTGTTTGATTTCAACTATATGACATTTTGGAAAAGGCAGAACGATGGAGGCTGTGGAAACATCAGTAGTTGGCAGGGGTTCAGGGGGAGAGAGGGATGAATAGGTGGAGCATAGGATTTTTAGGGCAGTGAAACTATTCCATGTGATACCATCAAGCTGGATACTTAACATTTTGTTAAAACCCGTAGAGCCCTAATTTATACTGTCATGTGTTAGTATTGGCTCATCACCTGTTAGAAATGTGATCACAGTCATGTAAGATGTTAATAGGGGAACTGGGGGAGGAGGGTAAGTGAGGGGTATGTGGGGATTCTCTGTACATTCTGTTTATTTCTCTGTAAACCTAAAACTGATATAAAAAAGTGTATTAAAGAAGAAAAAAAAAATTGTACCCATGGGCTGTCTTTCATCATCTGTTCTTCCTACTCCGGTCCTAGGGAGCCATTAATCTTTTTTCTGTGTCTTGGGATTTACCTATTCTGAACATTTCATATAAATGGAGTCATATAATACGTGTTCTTTTTTGATTGGCTTCTTTCAGCTCGCATAATTTTTTAAAAGTGTACCCATGTTTTAACATTTGTCAGTCTCTCTTACTGTATTCATTCCTTTTTATTCCTGAATGTTACTTGATAGGAATTAGGTTTTTTTCCCCACTTCTTTGGCTGTTGTGAGTAACGCTGTTGTGAAGAACATTTATGTGCAAGTTTTTGTGTGGACGTATGTTTTCAGTTCTTTTGGTTATATACCTAGAGTGGAATTGCTGGGTCATATGGTAACGCTATGTTTAACACTTTAAAGGACTGCCAAATGCTTTTTTTTTTTTTTAAGATTTTATTTGTTTATTTGAAAGAGGAAATGAGAGAGGGGAGGGTCAGAGGGAGAAGCAGGCTCCCCGCTGAGCAGGGAGCCCGATGTGGGACTCGATCCCGGCACTCCAGGATCATGACCTGAGCCGAAGGCAGTCGTTTAACCAACTGAGCCACGCAGGTGCCCCGAACTGCCAAATTCTTTTCCAAAATGGCCACACCATTTTATATTCTTACCAGGAATGTATGAGGGATCCAGTTTCTCTACATTTTTGCCAATACTTGTTAATATCTGCCCTTTTGATTATAGCCATTCCCCCCCCCCCATACAAGTGGAATGTGATTTAAACTTATTGCTGTTTTTTTCATAGGGCCAAATTTCTGGAGATGTGCGATGATCTCTTAGCTAGAGTGGAGCCACCACTTCGTAGTGTTTTGGAACAAGCCAGTAAGTATTACTGTGACTGAATTGTTTGTATAATCATGGCTCTTTGGAAAATGTTGTTTATTACTTTTTTTTTAAGTTACACAAATTTTCATCGTATATACCACTACTTCATTGCTGTATGAAGCTTCTTTTTATGTCTGTCTTTCCTCTGGAGCACCCCCCCTCCTGCTCCCACCTCTTTTGATAATGGTGTCCAGGGAAATCTTACATTTTCTCAAGAAAGCTAATTCAGACTCAGATGGATATAAACATCCCATTTATTTCATAGTGGTAAAAATTGTCTTTTGCATTGTTGCTTTGTAGTACTTGAATAGGCTTTTCTGTCTGAATCTTTTGCTGACTGAGAAATACAGCCAAGGGAGGATGTGATAACCACATAGTTATTTTAACAGGATGCTTTAATTTTATCTCTAGCTAAAAGTAGGTATTTGATTTAGTAATGTATCACTAATTTTCCTAAAACCTTCAGCATACTTTCACCTGGAGTCCACTGTTGTGTTGGTTGCTAAGTATTTCAGAGTGTTGAGATGTACTGTCATCTTGACAAAGGTCAGCTCTTAAATCAGAGTGATTAGGCAAACTGGCATGTTCTTTCCATACTGGGATAGCCCATTTCTTTAAATAGCCCTTCTCAACATACTGTCAGTATTTGTTGCATAAAATGTGACCATGAAACCAGGTGGTGTTAGTATTTTATGACTGACAGAAGAGCTTTGGTGTGCACCTTCCTTACTTATGTCAGGAGGAGGCTGTACCTGTGTTAATCCGTACAAAGCCTATGCTCTGGGTGGAGTGCTGATGGGGCTAGCTAGCTGTGCTTCGAATACTTTTTTCTTTCATGTCATGTCAGGGGTAACTCAGTATTTCAAGGCCCTCTTATTTTCTTTGTGGCTAGCTTAACTATTGATGTTTTAATAATTTTTTACGTGGGACTGTTTCAGAGATTATGGGGTCTCTACGATGTAGGGCATTTAGTATTCATGGCCCTGTCCTCTTAAGTCCCAATATTGTTGTGCCACACTGCCCCTGGTGCATCAGAACATATACCTACTTGTTTTCAGATGCCGCAGCTGTGTGTGTGTGTGTGTGTGTGTGTGGTGGTGGTGGTGGTGGTGGTGGTGGTGGTGGTGGTGGTGGTGGTGAGGGGGTGAAGGAGTGGCAGGGTTTTGTTATGAATCTAAGTTATTTTGTTATGTTAGGATGTTATATTGCTCTCTTATTTCATTGTGAAGTACTAATTTAAAGGTTGTTTTCATCTCAATGTCTCTTCTAATCATTTTAAAATAGAGTTAAAGAAAGAAGATATTTATGCAGTGGAGATAGTTGGTGGCGCGACGCGAATCCCTGCAGTGAAAGAGAAGATCAGCAAATTTTTTGGTAAAGAGCTTAGTACAACACTAAATGCTGATGAAGCTGTCACTCGAGGCTGTGCATTGCAGGTGAGCTTTCTTTCACAGGTAGCCATCCATTTATAGGTCATTGTGCCAAGATGGCGTTGGTTTTCTATATCCAGCTAATCTGAGGCTAGCTTAGGATGATCTCTAGGTGTAAGATTCTGAAATTTTAGTTTTACAATGGATATCAAAGGTGGTGTTGATAAATGGAATTGTACTCTATAATCTATAACATGGAATAAGCTGAATTAATGTACTAGAAACACAGGTAAGCCTGAAATACTACTAGAATTTGGTACATTATCTGTTGTCTGTATATGAAGTAGCATTGTACATAAATTAAGTAAAGGTTTGAGTTCATGGAAAAATGAAAAGTGATGGCTAGATAATAGTTAATCTGAAAGTTTTTAAAACCAGTTACTTACACATCGTTAAATTATTAATGTAAACACTTAAAAACTGTTGATGGTGGTTTTTTGAAGTCATTATTTATAGGTCTAATAATAACAGTTCATAATGTCTGTACTTGTCATATGGTATTTTTAAAAATTATTATTCTAGTGTGCAATCTTATCGCCTGCTTTCAAAGTCAGAGAATTTTCTATAACTGATGTAGTACCATATCCCATATCTCTGAGATGGAATTCTCCAGCTGAAGAAGGATCAAGGTAATAACATTTATTAATTATTTTTATACTTACAGTTAACTTAGTGTTAAGTCTGAGTAAAATATTGCCCTCCATTTCAACTTCTGCAGATCTGTAACATTTCATTACAGTGCATGAAGCAAAGTGATGCCTTATTTTAGTCTTGAGAATAAATTTGTGTCCTTACTTAGTTTACTATAATTGATCCTGCTGAAATAATTGGTGCCTTTGACGTACTTATTCAAATATATTTATATTACTTAAAACTGATTTTATATATATCTATAGATGTATATGTAAGTTTCTTTTTCCTTGGAACCTCTTATATCCTGGAAATGATGCCAGATGAAAGCATGAGAAGAGTAACTAGAGCCACGCAATAATTACAGATGTAGAATAAATTGGTAAAAGTGTTCAGGAATATCTTAAATTTGTGTGTTTTTGTCTTTTTCCTCCATCTAGTGACTGTGAAGTCTTTACAAAAAATCATTCTGCTCCTTTCTCTAAAGTACTCACATTTTATAGAAAGGAACCTTTCACTCTTGAGGCCTATTATACTTCCCTGCAGGATTTGCCCTATCCAGATCCTGCTATAGGTAAGTAGAATTGGGAACTTAAAAAAAAGAAAAATTATGTACTTGGGAGAACTGGGAGCTAGCAAGTATAATCTGAAATTTGGTATTGTAAATCCCACGCAAAAAACCTCTTCCAGGCTTGTGACCACTTCACTACTAGCAGGATGGTTACTGTTTAATTGGATTTCTATTGTGTGGGCAGTATTTCTTGGTTAATGCACATAGTGTGTATACCTTGTGCATAATGTGATAATACATAGATACTAAAAAGGAGTTAAACTCAATTTTCACCCTAACACAGAGTTATAAGATGTACACAGAAAATCATTGGAAAATAGTTATGTCGTTATCCTAGGTTATGGAGCCATGTTGGCTAGAGTCTTCACAGACCCTCAAAAATTCTTATAATCTGGAAATTACACTAGGTGAGAGAGAAACTAGAATTACATGATCATTACAGACTTAGAATACATGAGTAAAGTATTAGAAGTATTAGGAATATCCTGAATGGCACTTAGAAGCTGTGGGAAAGTTAACCTACTCTGTTTTCCTCATTTGTAAAACAGGAATAAGAATGAGAATTCATATTTTGTAAATTAAAAAACATAAGTAAAACTCTGGTGTACTAATTGACTCTTGATGTGTGGCAATTTCTTGATAAATGACAGAAGCAGTATGGAATCACTAGGGTTTTTTCAGTAGAGGAGAAGTGACATCGGTTTAGGAACTTCCCTGGCAGTGGCATATAAAGATGAATTGGAATAAGGGACCAGAGGTAAGAAAATGTTTGGAGGGTTAGGAGATGTGTGAGTCCTTAATTGGGACAAGGTACTGAGAGTTTGACTATTTATGAGAGAAGAAGGAGAAATCTAATGATTTAGTAAGATTAGTTGACCTGTCACTGAGAAATGGGCATAACCTGGCCGTATGGGCATATTTTCATGTTAGAATTCGTCCTCTCAGGTTACGTGTTCTCTTTTGTTTCATATGTCCCTAGCTCAGTTTTTAGTTCAGAAAGTCACTCCTCAATCTGATGGCTCCAGTTCAAAAGTGAAAGTCAAGGTTCGAGTAAACGTCCATGGCATCTTCAGTGTGTCCAGTGCATCTCTAGTGGAAGTGCTCAAGTTTGAGGAAAATGAGGAACCGATGGAAACAGATCAGAATGCAAAGGAGGAAGAGGTAATCTGGACATTTTAGACCATTTTAGGCCATTTATGATGGTGTACCGGTGACTTGTCTAGAAATTCTAACAGATTGGTTGGGAGGAACCTTGTGACAGCTGCTGAGAGTGGGTTTGCATTGTGTCCCCTTATCCTAGCACAGGGGAACTAGCAGAAGGTCTTTATGCAGTCTTTCTTACAGAAATGGAATATAGTTTGGCTTCTTTCTTCAGACCATGTACTTCTCAAGTTGAGTTGTTTTTGATTCTCATTACTGAAGAATGCTTTGAGTCTTGGTTATTTTCATAAGTTGATTTTACAGTCATTTATTGGAGTCATGCCCTGGTCTCATCCTTATTGTGCATCAAAATCAAGCTTTATGAAACTACAAATGTTTGAGTCTCCAGAGGTCTTAGTGAGTTGGTCTGGGTTAAGGCCCCGGTATCACTTTTAGAAGCCTCTGAGGTCATTCTTCTGAGCTGCAGACATTGCAAGCCGGTGATTCAGGTCTCCACAAACTTTTCTCTTCTTTGTCATTATTGTCAGGCTTTGTTCTTTTTTTTTTTGATTTATTTATTCAAGGGAAGCGCGCGTGTATGCATGCGAGTTGGGGGAAGAGCAGGAGAGAATCTTCAGGTAGGCTCCCCACTGAGTGGGGAGCCTGCCATGGGGTTCAATCAACCATGACCCATGAGATGATAACCTGAGCTGAAACCAAGAGTTGGAAGCTCAACTGGCTGAGCCACCCAGGCGCCCCCAGGCTTTGTTCTTTTAGCAGAATTTTCAAGGTGTTCACCTCCCCTAATGCACACAATGGTTGTACTTGTAAGGATGAAAAGACTAATTTAAGAACTACTTGAAAATGTTGAGACTTTTGAGAGAAATTTACTCAGGAGGAAGCGTGGAGAAACTCCTGCTCTCTTCAGAAATATCTGTTAAATGTTGCCACCCTCCTTTAAGATGAGTACTGCTGCGGTTTACAAAGCATTTCCACAGCCACCCTTGTTTACATACGGGTAGGGTAGGGCAAGTGTTCACTCCATTGTACAGATTTATTAACTGAGATCCAGAGAGGAAAACTTGCATATTAATAGGTAACATATGTGTTATAGCTGGAATTTGAGTCCAGGTGTTCTGATGGCTGGTAATTGATCAGGAATTCCATACCATGGGATTTTGCCAGTATGTCATGAAGGTTGCTTAGTCTTCCGTTAGTATTTCCTAGCTTCGGGATTCGATGTGACCTGTTTTTCAGAAGATGCAAGTAGACCAGGAGGAACCACATCCTGAAGAGCAGCAGCAGATGCCAGCAGAAAATAAGGCAGAGTCTGAAGAAATGGAGGTATAATTGTGTTTTAGAATAGGATTTGTAATGTCTTAACACATATATGAGATACTGTATCTTACAAGGGAGTTACACAGTTGACCCTTGAACAGTGTGCACGTTAGGGGTCCTGACCCTTATGCAGTAAAAAAAATCCTGCATATAACTTGACTCCCCAAAAACTTCACTAGTTATTAAGTTGACCAGAATAACACAAATAGTTGATTAATTCCTATTCTGTATGTTACATTTATTAAATACTGTATTCTTACTGTAAGGTAAGTTAGAGAAAATATGTTACTAAGAAAATCATAAAGCAGAGAAAGTACATTTGCAGTACTGTACTGTTACTTATCAAAATTCTATATACATGGACTTCTGCAGTTCAAACCTGTTTTTTTATTTTTTTATTTTTTGTTTTTTTAAAGATTTTATGTATTTATTTGACAGACACAGAGAGGGAACACAAGCACAGGGAGTGGGAGAGGGAGAAGCTGGCTTCCCGCCGAGCAGGGAGTCCGATGCGGGGCTCGATCCCAGGACCCTGGCATCACGAACTGAGCCAAAGGCAGACACTTAACATACTGAGCCACCCAGGTGCCCCAAAGATAGTGTTTTAAATAATAAAATATTTACATGTATTTTGTAAATAGTGTAAATAGTGTATTTATCCCGAGTATTTATTTAAATGAATATGTAACATTTTTGAATCCTTTACAATCCTGTTTTTAATTCTAACTTCCAAGTTTTCATGTTTAAGTTTGGTGTCAGTATTGAAAGCATGTTTTCTTTCAGATTATGACATTGCAATATATAGTCTCGCTTTGTGAGGTATTTCTGATTGTGGCATTTAAAAAAGTTTGGCAGAGCCCGTAGATGGCTTCAGTCTGTTACTCATTTTCACATCAGTTAATAAAATTTAATTACTTCCATTTAATTATGCAAATACTTATAAAAAAAATATAATGGGGAGAGGAAAAAGAAAGGCCTTTTCCAGGGTGGAAAACCCTTCATGTTGTATGGCTGGGGGCAGCAGAATGAGAGAGAACTACTTCCTCGATGTGTATGTGGGGAGCTGGCGAGGAGAAAGGAGAGCTGCTTCTCCCACCACATGCTGTGGGGCTGTGGGACATTTCAGGGGGGTGGTTGCTACTTAGGCTTCTTCATTGAGGTGGCTTGAGAACTGGTGCCTTTCCTAGTATGAAGTGCCCATTCAACAACAACTCCCCATTGCCCCACTTTCCCTCCCCCCAGCCTCTGGCACCCACTGTTACTTTTTCTTTGGATTTGACTACTCATATAATACTTATGTTTTTAACTTTCTAGATATTATAAGTAGTCATCCCAGGTTATTTATATCATTAGAAAACAAACTAATAAAAAACCAAAAAGAGCTCTTGAAACATGACCCATTTGGAAGTTTAAGATAGTCTGTCTGTGTGTTTGTTAATAATGATTTCTTGTTATTTCAGACCTCTCAAGCTGGATCAAAAGACAAAAAGATGGACCAACCACCTCAAGCCAAGAAGGCAAAAGTGAAGACCAGTACCGTGGACCTACCAATTGAGAATCAGCTGTTGTGGCAGATAGACAGAGAGATGCTCAACTTGTACATTGAAAATGAGGTGGTTATTTCAGATCTCTTAGAACAAGAAGCTAACAGATTAATGCGGCCATAGTGTTAAAACTCTTTGTCTAGTGACCTTTTTTGCATGTTCAGTTGTTTGGAGTTTAGGGGAGTAATTTTAGATTTTTGGGTACTTCAAGGGCAAATCCCATGTCATATCAAAATTCTTTTATAGTTTTATGTGTCTATAGCTAGAAGCTCTGTTAAGACATCTTTGACATTATGTCTTTGGTTTAGGGTGGTATCATTCATGTTCGGGTTCGTGTGTGTGTTTTCACTTGGGTGCTTGGGATGTTTGAGGTGCTGGGTCATGGACGTTGATCAGTAGGAGAAATCAAAGCATTCATGGTAGTGCTGTTTTGTGTATTTAGTTCCTTCCCCTGTTGTTAGTCAGTGTTGAACTCCTGTTACCATGAGTGATGCAAGATTTGGCACCCTGGTGCACAAATTACTGAATTAATTGTTGTCTCTGAAGTTTTTTTTTTTTTTTTTTATCATGTATCCCTTGGATCTTAGATTTGTTTTACAGAACTGTAACATTTATACTGTGTGAATCATTTGATTTTCTTGTTATTGTATAGTAATCCTACAGCAGAGTATACCACCTTGTGACAACATGGAGCTAATAGTTTCTTAAAATTCTCGTCTTAAGTTCTTTTCCTTATTTTGCTTTTGAGTTTCTAAATCTTGATACTTCTATTACTGTTTTTTTCTAAGCACACTCACAGAACTCACAGTTGATCTTCATAATTTACTGGGGACAGTGCTTCCACTTCTCCTTTCTTGGATGATTTGCAGAACTAAGAGGATTTGGGGAAGAAGGATTCTCCACTTTTATAATTACAGGACTTAGTATTTAAGAGGATATTGTCTCAGTTGTCTGAATTTCTAATTTATACTGTTCTCAGGGTAAGATGATCATGCAGGATAAACTGGAGAAGGAGAGGAATGATGCCAAGAATGCAGTGGAAGAATATGTGTATGAGATGAGAGACAAGCTTAGTGGGGAGTACGAGAAGTTTGTGAGTGAAGATGTAAGTATGTGCCTACCTACTAGGTGTCTTCTGGGAGCAGCCTTAAATGTGGTAGGCACATTTCTGGCATCCGTAGGTACACAGTCAAATGATTAAAAATGGGCTTTTTTGGGGAAAAGTTTTGTGTTTCTTAGGTGCAGTGTTTCCCAAAGTCTTGTCTTCATGAATCATTTCTTTCTTTTTTTTTTTTTTAATGCATCACTTTTTGATACATTTGCATGCTTTTATTTACCTGGTATTTTTCTGTAAGTCAGCCCACCCTTCTGTCATGTTTCTGTATTTTAATTCACTTTTTTAAAAAATTGTGTAATTGACAACATTAGTTTCAGGAGTACAACACAATGATATTTGTATATATTATGAAATAATCACATAAGTCTAAACATCTGTCACTGTACACAGTTATAAAAATTATTTTTTCTTAAGAGCTTATTATTAGCAGCTGTTAAATAAACAATACAGTATTTTAGTTATATAGCTTACATTTTTTTAAGATTTTGTTTTTTGTTTTTTGTTTTTTAAAGATTTTATTTATTTATTTGACAGAGAGAGACAGCGAGAGCAGGAACACAAGCAGGGGGAGTGGGAGAGGGAGAAGCAGGCTTCCCGCGGAGCGGGGAGCCCGATGTGGGACTCGATCCCAGGACCCTGGGATCATGACCTGAGCTGAAGGCAGGCACTTAACGACTGAACCACCCAGGCGCCCTAAGATTTTGTTCTTTTATAGCTTACATTATTTTTTAAAACCCTGGGATCATGACCTGAGCTGAAGGCAGGCACTTAACGACTGAACCACCCAGGCGCCCTAAGATTTTGTTCTTTTATAGCTTACATTATTTTTTAAAAAGATTTTATTTGAGAGAGAGAGAGCATGAGCGGCAGGTGGAGGGAGAGGGAGAAGGCTGCTCCTTGCTTAGGAGGGAGCCCGATATGGGGCTCCATCCCAGGACCCTGGGATCATGCCCTGAGCCGAAGGCAGATGCTTTAACTGACTCATCACCCAAGGCCCCCCGAGCTTACATATTTTTAAATGCAGTTTTTATTTCTGAAATTTTCAAATAACCAAATCATCCCAAATTTTAAACCTATCCCCTGCAACAGAGAGAAGTAAAACTGTTTGTAGATATCAAGCAAACGACATTGCCGTTCTTGTCTATGTCCCTTGTCTGTCCCATCCCCTCCGTATTTTAAAGCAAATTCAGATACTGCAGCCTTTGCCTATTGACTTCGCTGGGCAACCAGCTGATTTTTGACTGACCTCATCATAATATTTTCTTCATATTTAGGATCGTAACAGTTTTACCTTGAAACTAGAAGATACTGAAAATTGGTTATATGAGGATGGAGAAGACCAGCCAAAGCAAGTTTATGTCGATAAATTGGCGGAATTAAAAGTAAGTGATTCTTGGGGTGCCTGGCTGGCTCGGTTGGTGGAGCACGTGACTCTTGATGTTACATTCGTGAGTTCAAGCCTCATGTTGGGCCTAGAGCTTACTTAAATAAAGCAGGAGGATGGAAAGCATTTCCTTTTGACTGTTTAAAAAAAAAAAAATGATTCTTGAAAGCAGAAGTGTTCTGAAACCTGAACCCATGCTGTAATTTCCAAGGATTTCTCTCAGAATTGGGAGGAATTTTCGTATCAAGTAATGAAGACAGGCTGAAAGTGATTGAAAAACTATACCCTTTATCACTTATTGTCATTTTCTTGTTTTTAGAACCTTACAGTAACAAAATTCTTTTTTTGGACAGGAAGTAGGATTTATTGATGGGCATAAATAGGGAGGGGGCAGTGCCGAGGTTCTCATGAGTGCAGAGCCCTCCATTTGTCCAGGGGGCCACGATTAGGCATGTATTTGACCCCACAGCCATCTGGGATAAGCTGCTTTTCAGCTACCATGTCTTCAGATTCATCCGCATTAAACTTAGTAAAGCCCACTTCTTAGAGATGTGGATCTTCTGGCAGCCAGGGAACTTGAACTTGGCCCTGCATAGGGCCTCAGTCACATGCTCCTTGTTCTGCAGCTTGGTACGGATGGACATGATGACTTGGCCAATGTGGACCCTGGCTACTGTGCCCTGGGGCTTTCCAAAAGCACTCCGCATACCTGTCTGCAGCCTAGATTGGAGATAGCATGAAGTCACACCTCAATGTCCACTGGAAAGGGATGTCTCCAAGGTCCCTTAAGGCAACCCATACAATCAACAGGCTGCATGCACTACCAGGGAGGCTCCTGTTCGCAGCCATGGCGCAAAATTATTTTTCTGAAAATTCAGTTTGGACTTAAAATGTTTTCCTGAAGGAGGTTGCATTCTGGGTGAATGGGTGGTTGAAAGAACAGAAAGATGTTGACCTGTCCTGAAGGCACCTGTAGTGCAGTTCAGGCAGGGTTGTTCATACAGTTTTGATTTTTGGTAAAGCAAAGTATCTGTTTTGTATTTAAAGAATCTGGTCATTAAACCTTAGGGTTAAAAGTACAAAAAAATGAGGGTGCCGAAATAGCTCAGTTGGGAGAGTGTTATGCTGAAGATTTAAAGGTCCCTGGTTCATTCCTGGTACACTGAGTGTTTTAGTGCATGTCCAGCGTCATGCCTTTCCTCTGAGTTAAGGACTGTAAATGAATGAAGTGATTGTATTTGAATAAAACTTTATTAAAAAAATACAAAAAATGATCCAAGGTTGAGGCCATTGTTTGCAAAAGGTTGCAAATGCACGGGAAGAACTTTTCACATTTCTGTGGGTTACTTACCTTTCTTGTCAAACTGGGCCATTGTGATTAACCTCTGAATGTAATTGCTCAAAGACAATGCCTGCAGTTTTCCTGTCATTATGGAAGGATAACAAGAGCTTCCAGTGAGACCTCTCCGATGGAGTCTTTTGCTTTACTTTTTATTATGGGAGATGTCAAACAATAGCTTTAATGGTTGTCAGCTTATGGCCAGTTTTGTTCCGTTTCTGCTTCCTCCCACTCCCATTTATTTGAAGGAAGTACCTCATGTTATATTTATTCTGAAAATACTTCAGTATGTATTTAAAAGAAAATACAACTTTAAGCTATATTATTATCACATTTTAAAAAATTCCTTAATATCATGTTTAATGTCACCATGTATTCAGTTTTCAAGTTCTAATTGTTGTATAAATTAGTTTTTAGTTTGACGCCGAATACCCCTAAGGACCATATATTTTATGCATTGTCTCTTAAATTTGTGTAGTTCTTCCATCATTTCTGCCCCCTTACTCATTTATTTAAAAAGATCAGATGTCCTAGGTCAGATTTTCACCCAGTCTGGATTTTGCTGGTTTTCATTTCTGTGCTATTATTTCTAATTCACTTCTATGTTATTTATCACCATCAGATAAGTTGATGGTTAGAACTAGAGGCTTCATCAGATTTCATTTTCAAAAAATTTTTTGGCAGGTATGCTTCTTATTAAGGATGGTGTATCAGTATCAGGAGGCACCTCGTTTTGGGTTGTCTCCCCACTCTGTTTTGAGAATTAGGACTCCAGTGACAAGTTGAAGTGGCTCCACATGGAATGGTATAGAGGTATATTGTCATATCTAGCCTAAGGATGGATTTCAGTGGAATGGGGAGCGATACTGAGCTTTTTACATCAAGCACACGGAGATGAAATGTACTTTAATCCGTGGTAGATCTCAGTAATTGTAGAAACAATACACTCTGATAGTTTAAACATTCTTTCTTATGTTAAGAATCTAGGTCAACCTATTAAGATGCGATTCCAGGAATCTGAAGAAAGACCAAAATTATTTGAAGAACTAGGGAAACAAATCCAACAGTATATGAAAGTAATCAGCTCTTTCAAAAACAAGGTATCTGTTTTTCTTATCCTACTGTTACTTTGGTAAAGTTTTGAGGCATTTACATAGCGATTTTTTGCTTTTTTTAAACTATTGTTTAATATTAAATACTTCTTTTTGGATGTTAGTGTAGTGTGTATAATATTTTATAGAATCTTAGTAAGAACTATTCTTTAATAGGTAGCATTTGGAAGTGAGCAATATTCGATTTCCTTGTCTTGCTGTCAGATGCTTCATCAGTGACTTAACCTGCTCTATCCTGGTCTTTCTGAGAACCATTAGGCGTATGGTTTGGTTTATTACGCAGATGTAGGACTGTCTGAACAGTAAACTACTTAACAATTTTTTGAGCACTTGTGATATACATTCCGTAAATACATTATTTCATTAAATCCTTAGGAGTACCCTAATGAGGTAGGTGGTCATGTCAGTAATAGTTAGAGGTAACTTCTAACTTCCTTAAGCCTCAGTGTCCTTAAGTAACACCCAAGGTTACTATTGAGAAGTGGGGTTTGGCCTGAGGTCTGACTCCACAAATTTTGGGTTCTTAACCACTCCACTCTACTCTAGGTTCTTGATGGATAGTCATTGTAAGAAGCTTCTGAGTGATAAATTTGGCTTGTTTAATTTTGAAAAAATTTTGTTTCTAAAAGGTCTCCTTTAAAAAATTGTATTCATTATTGTTTTGGTTCCTAAATAGCATGCCTAAACCTCTGCTCTCACATCTTATGACCTGTAATGTCATGTTTGTGAAATTACCTTCATAAGATTGTCAGGCATGTGCTTTTTATACATTGAAGTCTTTCAATTGCTACCCTTATGTATGTTTTTGGCCCTTAAGTCTATTTCCTGAGTGTTTTTAAAAACTGGGGTTACTTTTTCTTAATTGAATTTTTTTAAGGAATTGAATATCCATTTGGGTGGTGAGGCTGAATGTGCTTCATTTTTGGAAAGACTACGTTTTTGAAAGACGGCAAACAACTAGATATTTGGGTGGGGAGAGTATCATCCTTTGACACTTGCCTGGTTGTCTCCTGGTTGCAGGAGGACCAGTATGACCATTTGGATGCTGCTGACATGATGAAGGTGGAAAAAAGCACGAATGAGGCCATGGAGTGGATGAATAACAAACTGAATCTTCAGAACAAGCAGAGTCTGACCATGGATCCAGTTGTCAAGGCAAAAGAGATTGAAGCTAAAATTAAGGTAATTTATGGCTTTGAATATTTAATAGTCTTTCCTTGTCAGCCTTGTTATTTATTATTAATGGTCCTTAAAGTGACACTTAGGAGGGAACTTCATTAGTGCATCTTAGTTTCTGGCTTCTGGTTGGGAGGCGGTGGACTTGGGTTTAAGTTGAGAACGTCATGTAAAATTTACTGTTTTTAAGAACCCACAATTTTCTCTCCTTTGCTGTTCTAGGAGCTGATGAGTATCTGTAGCCCTATAGTTTCAAAGCCCAAACCCAAAGTGGAACCTCCAAAAGAGGAGCAAAAAAATGCAGAGCAGAATGGACCAGTGGATGGACAAGGAGACAGCCCAGGCCCTCAGGCTGCCGAGCAGGGTACAGACACAGCGGTGCCTTCGGATTCAGACAAGAAGCTTCCTGAAATGGACATTGATTGATTCCAACAATTGTTTATATTAAAACAGACTATTATAAAGCTTTAAGTTGTCAACTTTGTTCTAAATATCAACTAGAGCAATCAAATACTGGAGATTTCTTAGTCAGTTTTTAGGGGATTTCGTGGGAGGGGATATAGGTAATGTATGGAGCATTTTGACTTCTAAATAGTTAGATACAGAAATTAAGTGCATTGTATCTTTTTCATAATGGTACTATTTAGAAGCCCAGTTAGTCTTACTTACCGAGCTTCTGCTTCACTCCTTTTATGTTTAATCATGCTTACACAAGGATAAGTTTGTTTTGGAAAGCTGAGCTATAAGCAAAGGCTCTAACTAGCTGTCAAGCAGACTTTTCATTGTGACCTATGTGGCAGGAACTCTGGAAATTGTGCTTCAAAAATCTGTTGTGGAGATTGCCACGAAGGCTCCCCACCTGGTGTGGGGATGGGGCTGGGGTCCCTGCTTTCTGGGGACTAGAGCATGGCATGGCCTGGATGAACATAGCAGAACATGAGGGGCGTGCGCTGAGCTCCTTCATGCTGCACTTCTGCTCCACTTAGACTCCCGCCGGTCCTCCCCGCCCCCTGCTCCGGGGAAGGAGCTCCTCTTACAAATGCCCGAGTGCTGCTCTTGGGAAAATAGACCCCTTCACCTGCAGTGAGTTGGCAACTGAGGATTTTGGACCTGGAAGCTCTTCCTGAGAAAGTATGTTCCTGAAAATGCATTCACAAATACCCCAAACATCAAGTCTAAATAATTTTCTCTTTGCAAAGTTAGAATTGGATAGATGTATTGTTGGATGTAGGCATGGTAAATTGAGCTGAGGAACTGATTCTTGTTAATTATGGTGTAAAGACTTGTATCCTGGCCTGCTCATTCAGGTGAGAGATGTTCTGTGTAAATTTGAGGTATAGCTTGAAGTCCTAAGACAAGAGTTAAAAGTTCTTTTTAGCTCATTCACAATCAATTGTATGTTGTGTTAATATCTGCCATGAACCTGCCAATCTATGTGTTAAACAGCTGACAGATCATACAAAAGAAAAAAACACCAAACCCTGAGATACACTGGACTGTACTGGATGAGTCTGAAATTAGTGTTAAAGAAGCATGGTGTCTGACTTGAGCAATACCGCATTCTTACTGTGTGGCCAATGTCAGATGCACCAAAGCATTCCCTGTGACTGCCTTTTATGGCAGTGTTGATAGGAGGGAAGCATTTTGGAAACTCCAAGGGAAACCTGTATTAGAGGCCATAGCTGGTACCTGCCTTAGAAACTTACAAGGTTTGTTGGTTACATTTTGGATCTTTGTAATAATTGTTATCTGTGTAACAGAGTACCTCTCTTAATTTTGGCCTATGTTAGAAATAACATGATCTTTGCTTACTTAGAATAAGTTTCTGTCCATCTCTGCACTAAAAAATTTTAGAGTATTGCCAAGTTCTGAAGTGCTATAGAGAAACCCTGCTTAGAGGAGGAAGGTGGAAGTGTATTTGTATTGGTGTGTAAGCTCGCATGGAAGCCTTGTAGCACCAGGACTTGGCCCTGTCCTTAGACTGTCTGTCCATCCTGTACCTGTCAGCTTTGAGTTCCAGCTGGCCTGCAGTGAGGCCAGTAGCTACTTTGGTGTGCTGGCTGCAGGATTAAGCCAATTCTTATGCAACTGACTCAGTCGGCAATGGCCATTTCTTCTAAGAAAACTTTTTGTGTGGGGGAGGGTGTGGGTGTTGGGATGGGGGTGAAATTGAAGTTTAAAGTTTAAACTAGAAATAAGATGATGTGGTCTCCTTGCTCTCTGTTTAGACAGGCTTTAAGACCAATTGGATTTACTTGGAGGCCAGGCCAGAGAGTGTGATAATTGATGACTTGTTTGCAGACAAGAATTTATCCAGGTTGCATTATCCAAATTGGTTTGTTAAAGCTCCAGGTCACGTTCTTACACTAAGAGAAACATTAAATAAACAGACAAGTTTAGGAAAAATTAATAAAAGAAACCTGTCTTACACTCAGGAATGGTTTCCTTAATTTTTCTGAAAAGGAAGGGTGTGTGTGTGTGTGTGCGCGTGTGCGCGCATTCAATGAAAACTCCAGAGGTAGTCCTCTTAACTAAATTCAACTTGTTAACAGGTGGCAAGAAGTTGCCCTTTTTCTGTACTCAAAATTCTCCCACGTTGAATGTTGGCCCAGTTCTCTGGTACGTAGGAATCCATCTCTTGTGTTGTCTGTCCTTTTGAGGGTTTTGACAACAGCAGAAGGTGGTTATGGTCCTATTGAGGACCAGTGCCAGGATTGATGCCTGCTCCTTGGAAGAATGCCATGGCCTGGAGTGTGCTAGTAACACTTGGCCACCACTGGATGTGTAGTTTGTGTGTGTGTGTGTGTGTGTGTATGTGTGTTGGTGTGAATGTGGGGTAGTAAGGAGTGTTGAAGTGGGTCGAATCCATCAGAAGAGACCTAACTATAAGGCCTGGGGCCTACATGGGGAGGGGTGTAGGGCCTTAATCCCTAGAGTCCTGCCACTTAACAGTCCCAGTGCTTTGTGTTAGGAGGAGCTGACCTGCCAGGGCCTACCAGTAGGGCTTGTGTCAGCCACCTTCAACGAATGTATCTGCGGCAAGGTTGGCATACTCTTGGGTTTCTGACCTTGGGAAAGGAGTGGGATGTGGTACATTCAGTGGGAAGCCTGGGACCAGCTAGCGGTCATCCAGGGCAACAGGGGTGTTGAGATCATGTGGAAGGAGAGTAACAGCCCTATCTACTGAGGAGAGGAGCCGGCGCCCTGCGTGTCACTGAGGAAGGAGGTGTTGGGGGTGAAGCCCAGGCTGGTGTGAAGGTTTTGCAATGTGGCAGCTTCAAGCCTGATGTGAAGAGCTTCAGAGCTCGGTGGGGTTGGTGAGGATTCACGGAGAGGCGTTAGACTCGTGGACTTTGAGTTTTGTTTTGTTTTTTTTCCCCCAAGCATGCGAAGTGTTTTTTTTCTAGAGCTGTTGGTGGAAGTGGAGGGGCTGAGACATTTGGGCTCTGGTGTGGAGCCCTGGGGGCTACAGATCTTTCAGCCTGAGAGTGACAGTGTTTTAGGGATGCCCATGTGATGTGTGTAGAATGAGTTGGGCCTGGGAGAAGTTGGAGAGGTAGCAGGACGTTAAAAATAATCCATGTTTGAGGGAATGAGCCAAACAAAGGGGGAAATGGTAGGTCCTGGTACTGAAGGAACAGGAAAGATTTGAAAATAACTCTGCTGGGCGCTTGGGTGGCTCAGTCGGTTAAGCGTCTGCTGCTCAGGTCGTGATCTCAGGGTCCTGGGATCGAGCCCCAGGTCGGGCTCCCTGCTCAGCGGGGAGCCTGCTTCTGCCTGCCACTTCTGCTTGTGCTTGCGCTCTTTCTCTGTCAAATAAATCTTAAAAAAAAAACAAACTCTGCTGCTTGAAGCTGGGCGTATAGTTAAGCTGTGGCATAATGACACGGCCATGCAATGCAGGCTTCTAGGGCTCCATGAGGTTTGGTTGATCTGGCTCTTGATACGCTTCTGTGCACTTGATGTATTTCAATCATTTTTTTAAAAGTGGCTTTAACAGCAAGAATATTGTATTTTTACGTGAGAAATGTAGGTTAAGAACAATATGCACACAGCTTCCCATGTTTGGAAGGAACATGGACTCTGCATAAAAACCAAAACCAGAAGGGTGTTTCAGAATTGGTTTCCTTCCAAGGTAGAATTGTGGGTGACTGCTGTTTGTCCATGTTTGCTTGTTGATATTTTCTAAGATTTCCGTAATAAGCATTTTGGAATTTTGTAATGTAAAAGTTTTTTAAAAGAATGGTCCCCAGGTTTTGCACGTGGAGCAGCAGACGTGGGAGGAGTAGACCCTCAAGTCTGTAGGGGTCCGTGGACAAGCCAGTGTGAGGCTGGTGTGAGTCCGGTGAGGGAAGGATTAGGAAGTTATTCAGGATGGAGTTGAGAGATCCCAAAGCCACAGCGGTTGTGGAAGGAAGCTGGGGGTTGGGGTGCCTTCCTGGTTTAGGGGCTGAAGGCTTGAGCTGGCATGTGTCAGGAAGAGCAACTGTGGGAGCTCTGGAGGAAATGAGCTGCTGGAGAGGAGCGATCATGTGTGAGGCAGGTTAGGGAGCAGGGGAATTTAGGAAGGGACAGGTGGCAGTGGCTGTGGGGGTGCCCTCAGAGTGTGGGAGCCGGGCCTCAGAGGCTCAGTGAAGCTGCAGGGGGAGCTTCTTGGTCAAGAAGCGTGGCCCAGTTGGAATGACAGATCAGCTTGGGGAGAAGGGAGATTGGGCAGCAACCTGGGTCCAAGGTTCTGTGTGCAAATGGGGCTTCTTCCCACCACTTATCTGTGGCCCATGCTGCCTTGGAGTTGGCAGTGCATTCCTTCCCTGGGTGCTTCTCCCTTGCGTCTGGCTGGAGCAGCTGGGGACATGACCCTCAGTGCCCCCGTCCTCTGTGAGCTGGATACCGCTATTTGGAGTAGCTGTCGTAGGTGGAGAAATGAAGGAGGCGACTTCTTCAGGCCAGGAGGCAAAACGGACACACGGCCATGCTGTGGTAGGAGCAACACTTCAGGAGAAGAGAGAGTAAGTTTTTGAGGGTTCAGGGAAGGGAAGCCCCTCAGAGGAATTAGCAAGGCACAGGCTGCTTTCCAGATTTGTCCAATAGCCATTAAAATAAGTGCCGAGCTAATCCTGACCCTGTCACTCCACTTTGGCACCTGCTCTCAGGATAGAGGGAGAATGGGGGTGATACATACTTCTAACTCCTCAGTGCGATTTCCCAGAGTCAAGCACAACAAGCAGATAAAAAATACAAATAAGAGTTGTGTTTGGGCTTTTTCACTGGTTGTGTCTGAATGTATTTCCTTCGAAGGCCAGGACTGTTGGATTTGGAGTCCTGGATCCATGGAGGGAGAGAGAACACTTCACTTTTCTTAACCACAGGTTAGCAGGCCCTTACCCACCACATTGTTTTTTTCTACTTGCACTTAAAACTTTTAAGTGTACCGGTCTCTTCAGTTAACACTTGGCTAA